CCCTGCGGCCCAGTCTGAATAACATCCCACTTTTCACAGCATCCATGACCAGAGGGAATACTACGGCAATGTTTCCCAGATAGTTGGCCGGGCCCTTCTAGGTAGGGGAGATGGAGCAGGGAACATGCCGGAAGTCCGACGGACGCACAATATGTTTTTCTTCCCAAAGGGGACCTGGCAGAAAACTTTACATTAGCACTCTGATGGGAAGAGCGTCACTCTCGTCGGGGCTATAAAACAGTTTTTTATTGTGTCTAAATGACCGTCACCGATGTATGTTTTCTCCCCATGACTGCGCCTCACCTACTGTACCCCCCAGACTGCATGTCCTGATGGAATGAGGCTATTGACATTTAACATGTTGTAAATAATGCTTCCAGGACTCATGCGCTTCTCTGCTAAATTGACCATTATTTAAAAAATAAAAAAAACATTTCTCCATCAATGCCAATATTAAGAAAGACTGGCACAAATTAGAACATCCCCCTCTTTATTGTCCTGTGTCATGTTCTCGTCCATTGCCATGTTCTTGCTCCCATTATGTCCAAGACAAAATTATCTGGCAAGAGACAATAATTACTAATATAATCTAATCTTTAAATTGATGATTGGTTTTCAAGTCATTTTAAAAGCCCTTTAAAATTTAAGTGTTGACTTTGCAGTCAGACTTTGAAGTCGCATTGACTTTCTCAAATCAAATTACAGTGCCTCTCGAGAGCACTGATGAACCTTGGACTTTAGCACATGTTTTCATGTTTATAATCACAAACATTAGGATTTTTTGGGGGTTTTTACTGAAGGTTCACACACAAGTTAGAGTGAAAGAAAAATGATACATGGTCCTATTATTTTTCAAAAAGTAGAAAACTGCAGTACTTTACATGTTTTCCTCCAAGAGGTCCCAGTATTTGGTAACATCCTTACCAACTTTTCTTACAATCTTACTAGTCCCCATGTTGTACACACACTTATAGGGTTCAGTACACAGTCGCACATAGTGGATTTTGGCCTTAAATGAGGGCTTTTAGTTTAAAAAATGCGGTTTTTGCTCACTTTGCAATGGAGCAAATTGCAGTGGAGACGGCTGGCGTTGAGGCAGCTGGTGGAGTAGGGTGATCGGTTTAGACAGACGGCCCTGTCTTGGTAAGTTTGCAGTGGTACCATACTCTTGATCGATTGAACAGTTCTTTGTCTGATTTTCACGGCATCAAAGGTCTTTGCATAACTTTGCGCTGCTTTGAACTTCTCCACAACTCCAGACATGTCTGCTCTGGTCCTTGGCCTTCATGAAAATGTTTAGTGACCGATACACTCTGACCATAGATATGAGGCCCTCAAAGAACAAGTGTGCTTATACTGAGATCGCGTACAGGTGGCCTCTGTTTAATCTTCAGAGCAAGGTGTGAACATTCAGCATCATCAGGACTGTTTTAAGGACAAAGAAATATGTTGTATGAATACTTAGGCCCCACTTTTCTATTTTCTTATAATCATGAATCTTTTTGCTTTCACTGCACAATTGCCTGTTAATTGTGTGTAAAATTGTATTACCATTGTTCATGTAAATAATGTCCGTGAACTTCTTTCCATCAATGTCCACGCTTTTTATGTCCTACCCTTCCCTGACCCTAAAGCTTGGGTACTTTCCAACCATTTAACAATGTAAAAAAATCCATATACTCTAACTCCCAATAAGAATTCGATCACTAGTTTTACCCTGCATGTAAACTATGTTTGGCCTTTCTCGGACAGAAATTTCTATTGGAAGAACTTTTTTTGTTTTATTTATGAATATAGGTACCTCCGTTTTTTTATTGCATTGAACAACATGCTCCAAGATTTAGTTTAACAATGAAAGCATAATAATTGTCTTCAATAAACCATGTTCCATAGCAATTTTACCAAAGGACCTTCCTCACTGTCTCCCATCTCAATTATTGCTTTTAATAATGGCATAATAAAGTGAATGGATGGAGTCATTCAGATCAAAGGTAGAAGTTTGGGGACAGAGGCGGCTGCGAGCTGCGATAGCCCTACTTCTTTGAATTGACCCCATACTGTGCACGCTCCAAATCTGCCGCCCCCCTCTGTGTGTGCCGCGATCATAGACTAATAGCGCTAACTCGCTAGCTCAATGAAGCGCAATAGGTAAGAGCTCACAGACAAAGTTTTCCTCCATGTCACTCTGGCTCCCATTAACTTACATTGGAAAGTAAACTCCTCTCACTCAGGAACCATTTGTAAGTAAGTAAGTGAGTAATGTTTAGTTATATTGTGCATTTTACTGACCAAGGTCCCCCAAAGTGCTTTAGAATGTTCAGAAATCAGATATTTTTCCATTCACACACGGTAATGACGGAAGCGAGTCACCGAAAACTGGATCCCAACCCCCCCCCCCAACCAACACCACCACCACTTATTACTCCTATACATATTGTACATGTTTATAGTAGTAGAGGAAACTGGAGCACCCGGAGGAAACCTACGCAGGCACGGGGTGAACATTGTAAACTCCATTCAGACAGGCCCTGTTCCGACCAGGATTCAAACCCAGGACCTTCTTGCTGAGAAGCAGGAGTGCTATCCACTCAGCCACCGTGTTTGTGCCACACTCATCATGTTTTAGCTTTCTCTGTATTGTAATTTTTTGTGTGTGAAGCCTTAAGGTTTTAGAAATCAGATGCTTCGATTTGAGGGGAAACTCCTTCTTGCCTTAGCAACCAGGTTAGCAACACAGCTGTTTGCATCTGCCTCTACTACGGCGCGTAGGTCATCCCGCCTTAACAAATGCTTTTTTAAGGAAATTACCTAAAGGAAGCTATTATTCAATTAGGATTCGTGGCCAACCAGGGTTCCAATCATTTCCGAGGGTTTATGTCTTATAGCGTGAGCATTTCCTGTCGTACATGTCATCTGTTTTCAACCAAAACAATGGCACTGTTTTACACCCACTATCTCCAGGCCCTTCCTGAAGATCGCTGTTGAGGATGTTCAGCGGCTTATTCATGCTTTCTCATCAGTGTCACGGAGCAACAAAAAAAAGACCGGGAAGTGCTCATGCAAGAAGTGACACTTTTAATGCAAACACTATGGGAAAGTTCAGCATTTGGAGAGTCCACTGATATACGGTCTATGGCTCTGATCCCCCGCTCCTACACTTCCCCCCCCTGCCGAATCCAAGCTTTCATTTGGACGGATGTTGGAGGTATTTTTACTCCAGTCTCATTAAAGCTATTTACATATTTATCTCTCTGACCTTTTCTGTAGAATTTTCTGTGCTTTGTCTTTGCTGTTGCATGAGCTACAGTACACTTTTATCAACGTAGGTTTAAATGAGCTATCTAAATATTGTGCTCTTTGTAGACTGAAAGCCCACAAGAAAATTGTAGCCCACAAGAAAATTGTGAAAAAACGCATCTGCGCATGCGTCAGCCGGCGCAGCTCCATTCATTTGAACGAGAGACTTCAAAAATTCACAGCGAGTAAACTAGAGTGGACCAAAAAAATCCACCCCCCTCAGCATTGACACACATGTGGAACGGAGCTTTGGGTTAAGAGCCAACTTTTGGACCATCCTGTAAAGACGTTTTCGAGAGGTCTGCCAATGCTATATGTCAGCATTGGCTAATTCTTCTTCCGGGTCCACCCCCATCAGCCCGGGGTGGTATTGCAGCATGTCAGCGCACGTCATTTTGGCCACTTTTGAGCCGGGACCCGCCCCCACTGGTTTTACCATGGATCTATTATAATGTGTGTGAAGAGAAGAGACGCATGGAGGAATAACGTCTGTGTGAGCTTAAAACAACGATGATCAAAGAAGCAGGAGATATACACAGCTGCGGAGGACATGGCTAAAAGCTCACGTTAGCATTGCCGTTAGCCATAGCGCCCTATCTGTATCACGGCAAGAAACAGAACATTCACTCACGCTGCCGATGAAGTATACTGGCGAACGTTTTGTGGGGATTCTGTGTGTGTTTTATTTGAGGCTGAATAAGTTTAGTTGAAACTTGTGACAGTAGTTGGACTGCGCTCGGACCGGGTCAGAACATCCTGAGACTGTGTTGTAGAGTCTGCCTCGTTCCCATTATTGTCAGTGTGAAAAAGTTACGTATTGTTCAGGTGTGAGTCTGTTGTGTACAAACTACAAAATGAGCCTTCTGTTGTGTTAACGCTGTCTTTGTGTGTGTGGTTTGTGATGTTGACACTTTGCTGCTATGACACTGGACTTCTGTATAATTATTTTTCTAAAAGATTGTTGTTTGGATTGTTCTTTTATATAGCTCTTGTCCTCCATTGTTATTTTAAATAACTCTGGTCTTCCATGGTTCCTTCTTCCAACATGTGAAGGCACGGTAAAAGCAACAATATCAATCAACTCATGTGAAACGAAAACGCGATTCTTGCTTCCTTTTTGTCCCTAATCCACCACCGTTTTCCAAGATGGCTCATTGACAAGGATAGTCCTCAGCTCTCATGGACATTTATAATTTAAATTCTAAGCCTATGAATACAATTAAAAAAAACATGGTGGAGGTAAATATTCTTACAAAGGTCACATTTGTTATTAGTTAACCTGTTTTTTTCATATGGAGCAGCTGTAAAAATTACACAGGGTGGCTTTAAAAATACTCTTTCTGATAGGAAAAAAATAGCATTACAATAATATTAAAATATTTTATCTCTTATGCGCCTTTCTAGATATTCAAGGTTGCCTTAAATAACAAGAAAACATTCAAAGACAGTTGAAATAAGTTTAAAACAGCATGAACAAAGGATGTTGTAGTTATGGTGTAAATGAATAGGCTAGGACAAGGCTGGATTTGAAGTGAATGTATGCAGTTAAAAAGTGAGGTACACAAGATTGAAACAACAAGATCCTGAATTCAAGTCATTGCGTACAATCTGGACACACACGTTTTTGTGTCACACGGTGCTGTGTGTATTGACTGATGCTAGCAGACATTTACATACCGGTGTTGTCTTGCTCTGAGCTGCAGGGGGAGACAAAGATCCTGAAACTGAAGAACCTCCGGCCCCAGGACTACGCCAACTACAGCTGCATCTCCTCAGTGCGCAACGTGTGCGGGATCCCGGACCGCAGCGTCATCTTCCGACTCACCAACAAGACCGGTAAAGACTCGTTTCTGACCGCTCAAATACATACAGTACATGCTGGACTTTAAAGCGCACCTGTATACAAACCCCACCAACAGAAACTTAAAAGAAAGTATATTCAATTCAATTCTTTTTATTTTTGTATAGCCCTCAACCTTAATCCCAACATTTGTAGTTATCTCAGAGGACTTTACAGATCAGTTCCAATACAAGAAATACATTGATAAAAAATAAAATAAAGACCAATTGATCCACAAGGGGGCAGATGAACAATGTCTATACATGTTGATAAAGTCGACAAATGTAGTTGAAGGTCGAGTCTCCTGGATCATCACCACATTTTTTCCACATATCTGCTGAAGATAAGACAAAGGTAGTAAGTAAGTAAGTAATCTTTATTTATATAACGCCTTTTCACTGCAAATATGAGTCTCAAAGCGGTTTACAATTGTTAATTTTTGGGCATTTGTCTCTCACTCCACACAGAGATGGGAGCGGGGTTGCCAGTACACAAGGCATATGCCAGACCTATTGTACATATTTTTAGTGGTAGGGGAAACCGGAGTACCCGGAGGAAACCTACGCAGACACAGGGAGAACATGCTAACTCCACTCAGAAAAGCCCTGGTCCGACTGGGATTCGAACCCAGGACCTTCTTGCTGAGAGGCAAGAGTGCTATCCACTCAGCCACCGTGCCGCCAAGGTTAACATATTGGCATGTAACACTGAAAAGTAAAGGTATCCGCAACTTAATTCTTATAGGACTCTTACTGTATAGTATTCTGGACCTAAAGACGCTGTACTATTATCTAAATAGTACAGCGCCTCTCCACCTCCACCTCCCTGCCCCCCTCGTTCAACACCCAAAAGCCACCCACCTCTCCATCCTCCTCCCCCGCCTTCCCCTACCCCTCTTTTCTCTAAACACTAGGATGCACAGGGTCTCTGCTTCGCAGCCACTGGCAGTCTAGTTAGAGGAGAGACCCGGCTGGGGCCCTGTCATGAAGCCACCTGTGCCATTCCCTTAGTGATAACACAAAGAATACATTACAGAAAAACATCTGGAGTTAATCAGTCTAATCTGGAAAATCTAATTCTTGTTCCGTGTAAGAATCAGCCGACCACAACCGCTGATACTGAAACTTTGAAACTTGCTACGCTTAATGTCAGATCTCTTTGTAACAAGTCTTTTTTAATCAATAATTTTATTTGTTCTCATAATCTTGATCTTATGTTCATGGCTGAAACTTGGCTTGACCAAAATTCAGGAAATGCAGTTTTAATAGAAGCATCACCACCAAATTTCAAGTTTGAATCTGAAATACGGGAAAACAAAAAAGGAGGAGGCTTAGCTGCCATTTTTAGAGACCACTTTGTCTCCCATAGAATGTCTCTTGGGAAGTTTTCATCATTTGAATACTGTATGTGTCTTTTAAAATACAACAAAAACAATCTCCTCCAATACTCTTCATTGTCCTATACAAGCCACCGCAGTCATGTCACAGTTTTATTGATAATTTTACCGAGTTTCTTTCAGTTGTATGCACAGATTTTGATAGTTTGGTTATAACAGGTGATTTTAATATTCATGTGGATAATGTTGATGACAGAAATGCAAATGAGCTGAGTTCTGTACTTTAATCCTTTGATCTCACTCAGCACGTAAGTGGCCCCACCCACAGCAGAGGGCACACTCTAGACCTGTTAGTTACTAAGGGGGTGAATATTTAAAATGTAAACGTGGTCGATGTTGCTCTTTCGGATCATTTCTGTGTATTTTTTGACATGTGTTTCACTAACAAACCACCAGTGGACTCTGCAACTGTACGAAGAAGACACATAAATGAAAATACGAGTGAACTATTTATGGGAATGATAAACTTTGAGAATGCATCGTATTCTACTGTAGATGAACTGTTTAACTCTGTCACCTCTAGTGCTTTGAATGTTCTGGATACCGTTGCCCCTGTGAAGGTTAAAATAGTGAAAAATAAGCAGAAAGCGCCGTGGGCTAAAGCAGACTCGGTCAGGGCACAAAAGAGAAAGTGCCGGAGGGCCGAGCGGAAGTGGCGCAAGTCCAACCTCCAGGTAGATTACGAGATCTTCAAAGATAAGTTGTGCGAGTTTAACCGGGTGCTACGTAGTACGAGAGAAAGGTATTTTTCTGAAATGATTGAAGGCTGCAGCAACAATCTGCGTGTTCTGTTTTCAACAGTTAATAGGTTAACAAACCCCCCTGTTCAAATGCCATTAGAGCTTACTTCCAAACGTAAATGCAATGAGTTTGCTAATTTTTTCAATGACAAGGTTCAAGGCATCAAAAACGCCATTGTCTCCAATCCACAGATAACCATCCAACAGCCAGAAAGGCTCTTTGAGCTAACTCACTTTGCACCTGTAAATGATAAAACTGTCCAAGAGATAATCTCCAGTTTGAGCTCCTCCACATGCAGCTTGGATGTACTACCCACTAGATTTCTGAAGTCTGTTCTGAGCAGTCTGATACCTTCACTCACACAGATAGTAAACATGTCCCTTCATTCTGGAATATTCCCAAAGGCCCTGAAAACTGCAGTCATCAGGCCCCTGCTAAAAAAGAGCAGTCTCGATGCTACGGTACTTAACAACTATCGTCCCATCTCAAATCTGCCATTTATGGGGAAAGTCCTTGAGAAAGTTGTCTACCTACAGCTTACTAGATTTCTTATAATCAACAACTCATTTGATATGTTTCAGTCCGGCTTTAGACCCCACCACAGCACTGAGACTGCTCTTGTCAAGGTTACAAACGATATCCGGCTGAACACTGACGCAGGCAAAGTCTCAATCTTAATCTTGTTAGATCTAAGTGCTGCCTTTGACACTGTCGACCATGAGATCCTCTTACAGAGACTAGAGGACTGGGTTGGAGTCGCTGGCACCGCCCTAAGTTGGTTTAGGTCTCACCTTGAGGACAGGAAGTACTTTGTGGAGATTGGAAACTGTGTCTCAGATCATATGGCCCTGACCTGTGGAGTACCACAGGGGTCGATCCTGGGACCTCTTCTGTTCAATCTCTACATGCTGCCGTTAGGTCAGTTAATACGCAGAAACAAAGTGTCCTATCATAACTATGCAGACGACACTCAGATCTATGTCTCACTGACTGCAGGAGAACATGGACCAGTGGACTCACTCCTTCACTGTATCCAACAGATCAGTGGGTGGATGCAAAACAACTTCCTTCAGCTAAACGCAGACAAAACTGAAATGATTGTCTTTGGTCCCCAGAAACAAAGAGAGAGCGTCATCTGTCACCTACAGTCTCTCTCCCTAAAACCTTCAAACAAGGTCAGAAATCTAGGGGTAATACTGGACTCAGACTTAAATTTTAATAGCCACATCAAATCAGTAACATCAGCAGCTTTTTACCATCTAAAAAACATTGCCAGGATCAAAAACATAGTGTCTAAAGCAGACTTGGAGATTCTTATCCATGCATTTGTCTCCAGTAGGTTAGACTACTGCAATGGCCTGCTCACAGGTCTGTCCAAACAGGCTGTAAAACAGCTGCAGTACATTCAAAATGCAGCAGCTCGAGTCCTGACTAGAACCAGGAAGTACGACCACATTAGTCCAGTCTTCAGGTCTCTGCACTGGCTTCCTGTGGCTCAGAGAATAGACTTTAAAACAGCTCTGCTTGTGTACAAGTCTCACCATGGCCTCGCACCAAAATATATTAGTGACATGTTAGTACCATACGAACCAGCCTGGACTCTGAGGAGCACAGGGACTGGACTCCTGTTAGTGCCCAGAGTCAGAACTAAACATGGGGAGGCTGCTTTTCAGATTCATGCTGCTAATATCTGGAACAGTCTTCCTGAAGATGTGAGACAGGCCTCCTCTCTGACAATGTTTAAAACCAGGTTAAAGACAGTTCTGTTTAGCTGTGCATACAACTGAGGGATTTTATATTTGTATCTTTCTTTTTAATGTTCTGTGATTATTTATGATTTTAATGCTTTCTTATTTTGTTCAGCACTTTGAATTGCCTTGTGTATGAATTGTGCTATATAAATAAACTTGCCTTGCCTTGCCTTGCCTTGCCTAAATTAAGTCGACCTTAAGAATCTATTTTTCAGGGGAGTCCTGGCTACTGAAAATACTTTTATGTCCCTCCTCTTGGCATCATCATCACCAGTAAGAGTTGCTGGAGGAGAATAGTTGGACCCCAATGCCAACGGGGCATCAGCTGTCTCTCAAGGAGTAGAATTAATTGTGTCCAATCAGGGAGCTAGGGGCGTGGGTCAAACTGGGGATTGCATTTGAAAAATGTTTCTCCATATCCAGAATTTGAAAACTGATCTTCACTGATCTAAGCAGCATGTGATTATTTTTTTTAAAGCTCATCGACAACTGTTTTAACTGGAGGTGAGTCCAGTTACAACCTGAAGATTTGAGGTAATGGGTGAAGTTTAGTGTGTTTCTGCTCAGGTTGGACCAAAAACCTGCAGCCATACTGGTCCTTTCTAGAATCGGTTTGATAACCCTGGACCAGACCATGTCTTTGGTCAGCCAATCATTTCTGTGGTCGATTACAGTGTTTGTCAGTTGTTGGGAGTCTTATCTGCATATACAAATCAAAATCTTTGTGATTGTATGGCCAAATATGTGAGTTTCCTTTTCAGTGTACTTGGATGAGAGACAATGCAAGTAAATTCAAAACGAGGCTTCCAAGAGCTACGGTATTTGCATTGTCCATCACTAACTGTTACTAGAGTAGTAACCAGAACAGTAACCAGAAGAAGTAACATGATTATTTCAAACCGGCACATGAATCAACATAACAGATCAGCAACGTCATGACTGAATTTAGCATTTTGGTTTTCACTCAATTAATTCTAATGCTAATCCTCACCTCGCTCTGCTTCTCCAGCGTCTCCGTCCATCAAGCTGTTGGTAGAAGACCCGATCGTAGTAAACCCCGGGCAGACCGTGTCCCTGGTCTGCATCACCACAGGAGGAGAGCCGCCCCCCCTGCTCACCTGGGTCACAGCCAACGACACCCTGCCCCAGCGGAGCCAGGTGAAGGGCGGGACTCTGACCCTGCCGGCCATCAGCTCAGAGGAAGCAGGAGTCTACAGCTGTGTGGCCAGTAACAACGTGGGGAACCCAGCCAAGAAGTCAACCACCATAGTCGTCAGATGTGAGTTCATATGTCTTACCTTTTTCTTTTATTTACATTAATAGTACGGTTTACAGTTGGCATCATGCATTCAAACAATAATCAAATCATACATACATGGTTGGTCAAAAGAAAAAGGACTTTGAGACATGAGAATCATATGGCAGGTTTGTGAATCCAATCGAATTATCATTTTTTTAAATAGTCACCACAAATAGCATGTGGACACACTTGTCTTGTTACATGGATCAGCAAGTGTCCAATTGACTGCAGAGGCGATGTGTGCCCTTTCGTAAAAGTTATTATTTGGCCTTGCCCCTCGACAGTTGATGTGGTCCTATCCATTTCTCTGGGCCTCTTTGTTGTGGCCCAAGAGGCATTAGGGACGGAAGGATCAATATATCAACAATGACTAGAAAAGAATTGTGGTATCACTGCTGTTATGCAAATATCAATTTGAATTTGTATTCATACAGACTTCAATCTGGAAGCACATTCAGGGAATTTCTACACCCTTTTGGTCACCCCAGCTGCTCCTGTTTTTGTCAGTTTTTGTTCGGTAATAGTGTTTTTTAGAGTAATTTATACATTCATCGCGTTAGTTATGTATTTGGTCTTAAACCTGGCCAACCTTGCTAAAGTCTTACAAAGAATAATACCTTTGCAATGTAAATGTGCAACAAGCTGTGTAACAGGAGTGAAGCTATTGCCACCAGAGTTTGGGCTTTTGCATGTGTTGCTTATTCTACCTGTCCTTGCACAAAATGTTGTTACGTGGATAATAATCTTTCCATGGTCAAGTATATTGCTATTCCCTCATGGTCCTGGGTGGACTGCACAATAACTTTAGGGTACTTGAAAGTCAGAAGTTTGATTTGATCCTTTTATCATGTCAGTCTTGTGGTGAAGAACCAAACTTTTTTTCCTTTTTTTTATTTTTTTGGGTTGACCCAGTATTTCAGCGAGGGTCAGAAAACTGGTCTGCAGAATGAAAAAAAAGGCCTATAGATTCTCTCTATACACAAGAAGCAATTTACTAATTGTTTAAATGTCTATGCTGTATATTGAAAATATGCCCAAGCTCTGGTGTGTACTATCTGTTGTACATTGGAGTAGTCTTGCACAGTTTTTCCAAAGTGGTTTTACTGCAAATTTCAAATGAATCCTTGTATCTTGTATATCCTTTGCATACCATACAAAACACAATCTACTGGAATGTATTCACGAGCTATAGTTTGAGAATTTGAGCTCCGGAAGATCTTCCACTCTTGCAGTTGTGTCATTCTTGTGCAGAAAATCCCAGTTTGTTCAATTTTCTCTGACTTGAATCTCAGGAAATGTTGTGTTATTCAAACAGATGAAGAGCACATTTATTTCCAAAGAAAGGGCTTTTTATTCTCTATCCGTTAGTTTGAACTACATTATTAAAAGTACTTAAGATTTCCAAACGTATTCTTCGCGATAAAGTACAGGACATTGTGGACAGACTTCAGCAGTTCAAAATCTCATGGTTTTATAGAGACAGTACAGGGTTTAATGTGTAGAGAGGTTTTGGCTCAAATCTTCAAAAGTTTTTTCCAAAGATACGTTTGTTGCCCAAATGTCCTCACTAGAATACTCAAAAAATCTGCTTCAATCCATGTTAATCAATCAATCAAATTTAATTTATAAAGGGCGCACACACACACACACACACACACGCACGCACACAGGCACATGCACACGCACACACACATTCATACTTATTGGAAAACTACATCTTAGGATATTTTTTTGTTACACTTTTTGCATACTTTTTATTGATGTTTTATTTGGAGGAATCTCAATGAACCAAAAAAAGATATTTATATTTATCAAGGATAGATAGATAGAAAGAAGCTCCCACTGAAAAATCAAAGCTCCTGTGGACTCACCACCTGCAGGAGGATCAGTGAGGGGCTGGTGCTCTGTGTACTGGGAGCAGCTCTGACTGCCACCCCTGACCCAGAAATGGACTAAGGGGAAGAAGATGGATGGATGGATGGAGATAGATAGATACTTTACTGATCCCCATTGGAGAAATCCATGATGCTCTGTAGAATCCCAAGAATGACATCACAGGATGTGATGTAAAATGATCCATCCAAAATTATGATAAAACTTCTGGCAAAAATAAGTAATTAAATCTTAATATGCAGCATTTTAAACGTTCCCTTTCTCTTAGACACAGTGATGTCACAGTCATACAACTTGGTGCGACTAAGTTTATCTTAATCCCTCGTGATCTGATCATAAACCCACACCATATTTGCCCACACTGATTTAACGTCTTTAAGTGCCACTTTATGCCTGTTTTGCACAATAATAACAGATTTTCAGCTAACCAGACAAAAGTATTCAAAGTACAAATCCCAAACCCCTGCTCCGGAGTGCTAACCACTAATAGCCGAGCGTAAGAGCTTAGCGTAAATACCTGCGTCGCAAGGAAAGCTGCTGAGACGTGTCGCAATGCGCTGCTGGAAATGAGACTTCCACACTTCAAATGGATGTTATTACCAAGCAGCAGGATTAGGGCCGTGTGCAGACTGCGGACTAAATGAGAAAACACCTAGAAAACTCCAGGTGACAAAGCACCACTCAACAACCTGAGAAGACTAGGACTAATGCGAGAGGACTTCAGGACAGAGACCTGAGACCAGGACTAATGCGAGAGGACTTCAGGACAGAGACCTGAGACCAGGACTAATGTTAGAGGACTTCAGGACAGAGACTTGAGACCAGGACTAATGCGAGAGGACTTAAGAACAGAGACCTGAGACCAGGACTAATGTTAGAAGACTTCAGGACAGAGACTTGAGACCAGGACTAATGCGAGAGGACTTAAGACCAGAGACCTCAGACCCGGTCAAAAACAGTAAACAATGGAAGCTATCATGGCCGAGTGTGGAGAGAATGAAAACTGTGCACAGGTTTTGACTGTGCTTCATGAGGACGACTTACTATCTACAACACGTACCAGAGACACTCACAGTTTGTGCGTTCCCCACAGTTTGTGCGTTTCCCGCAGTGTGAGACTCTCTTGCTGCGATGAAACTTGATCCACAAAGCATCACGATGGTTTGTGGCACATGAAGGCTCTCTGTGGAAGATCGGCTCAAACTGAGACTCATGCCAAAAAACAGGTGTCAGACGTCTCTCAGCAGGAAACAAGTCAAACTTTATCCTTCTCTCACTTGTGTAAATGCTCTCTAAAATTAATATCCTCAGAACAAACTAATAATTTTATTTTTTTATTTTAAACACAGTTTCAAAGGACAGCTATGTTACAACAGTGTTCCTCATCAAAAACAGACTTGGGTTGCTTTTTGCTCTTTCCGTGCTGCTATCGAGAACTTCTGGCAAAAATTGGCAGATTGATTGATTGAAAAAACGTCCTCTCAAACTTATTACACTACACCACACAGCTGTTATCTGCCCCTTTCTATTTTTTATTTTTTTTCACCTTGTCAAAGCACATTTATTTTGGTCTATTTATTTTGGGCGGCACGGTGGCTGAGTGGATAGCACTCTCGCCTCTCAGCAAGAAGGTCCTGGGTTCGAATCCCGGTCGGACCAGGGCCTTTCTGAGTGGAGTTTGCATGTTCTCCCCGTGTCTGCGTAGGTTTCCTCCGGGTACTCCGGTTTCCCCTACCACTAAAAATATGTCCAATAGTTCTGGCATGTGCCTTCTGTACTGGCCACTCCGCTCCCATCTCTGTGTGGAGTGAGAGACAAATGCCCAAAAATTAACAATTGTAAACCGCTTTGAGACTCAGATCTGCAGTGAAAAGGCGGTATATAAATAAAAACTTACTTACTTACTTACTTCAAATCCCAAATCAATGTAAAGCTTATTTTCCAGTTTACTTTTATATACAAGTGCAGGCAATACCAGACGTAACACTAATAATATACTAAAAAGATAAGCATAATATGGCACAAAAGCATAGAATTCTCATTGCATTTCTGATCTTTGGACTTGTGCTGTGTCTGTAATATTGAAGTCATCCAAACAGGAAGGAAGCTTTGATTAAATGAGTTTGGAACATGTTGGCACAAAGTGCCCACATGTAAAAACCGAATGGCACAAGTTTATGTAAAAGGGCAACTGTATCAAAACTATAAAACCTAGAGGTCTGAAACTTTAGACAGTTGGTGCCAACTGAAAAATGTAAATAGGATTTGAATATTTTGAGCTTACAATGAAGGATGACTTTGTTAGGGTTTTTATAAATGTAATATTTTAAGCAGAGCTAAATAACAGTTTGGTTTCCCAAACTTCAAAGGATGCAGAGTGAAATCAGAATGACATTATTTTAGTGTGTATTTACATAAACTAGAAGGCTCTAGCTTTAAAATAATGCATCACACAAGCATATGATGTGTAAGATGTATTTTGAAATATGCAAAGACATTTGGGTTTGTCCAACTTTTGTGCACGAGCCAATTGAGGCGGTTCTGAGGTTAAAACAAAAAAGCTTGAATTTCAGAATGTGACTGAAATTGAAAACATATGACGCCTTTTCGCCTGTGCTTGCCCTGCGTTTCTAGAAATTATTTCAGAACCAAAAATATATTTAGTTTAGCCCCTTCCATTTGTCACAATCTTTTCCCATCTTTTACTGCTATGCAACCATTCAAACATACACTGTAAAAAATGTCCTTGTAGAAAAACAGTAAATAGCTGGCAAATATGGTTCCGGGAATATACCGTTTTCTCAACACGGCATTACCGTTGCTAATTTTAACGGTTAAAGACTGTTTCACTGAATCCCATTATGCCTTTGTGATTTCAGGATTTAACTGAATGTTCCTGTTAATTCACATACAACAAAAACAGCATTATAATGTCAATTTTGTATTATTGCACCATATGACTGTTTCTGTTTCTAATTAGTTTCATTGAACAAAAAACTACACAGTTTAATTTGTTTTATTTTAATGAACACAACATTTCAATTATTTTTTAACATCTTCAGTTTATACAAGAAAGTAGTAGAAATCTTTACTTCTATAACATGCTTAACGCAAAAGCATCATTCTAACTAAAGCAGGAGTTTACATGTGTAAGAGGTACCTTTTACACTCATGGTTGCTCGCTAGCAGAAAATTCCCAGCATTCCAAAAATACAACTAGTTTATGTTAAATTACGATAACAATACCATAAAATCACAATGTGATTATTAATCACATTGTGATTTTATGGTATTGTAACATTTTTTTGTAATCACATTATAATTGTGGTAATAAAACACCACTGGACGTTTTTTAACCAATTTATACTTAAATTTGCAAGTTTGAATTGTTTTTCAAAATAACATTTGTTTAATGTTGAAATTTCATTGTAGTTTTACAGAAATTTGTTACGGTGTAATGGAAACTCTGCTCTTGTCAGTGAATATTAACCTAAGAGTTCAAAAGGAAGCTGGCCTTTCAAATAATTGTCACATAAATTCAAACAACTTTCTTTCAAAACATAAGCAGCGTGAAGAGATCCAGACTCCAATAGACACAGATTACATGAATGGTGGAGTAGATCATTTA